CTTCTTTTTTTTTTTTTTTTGAGACAGAACTTGAACTATGATGTAACCCAGGCTGTCCTGGAACTGGAGCAAGCCTCCTGCCTCAGCCTCCTGACTGCTGGGATAACTTAATTTTTTAAAGACTGAGATGACTCCTCTTAAAAACCTCCTCTGTGAAAAGGACTGACATACAGTATATTAAAATCACCAGGGAGTTAGTTAGCTCTGTGGTTCTGCTGCCTGCCTGGCAAGCACAAGGTCCTAAGTTTGACCCTCATACAAAAAAACAAAAAAGCAAAAACAAAACAGAAACAAAAACCAGCTCGACTGAAGGCAATCTGGATTGTATAGCCAAGTTTTACCAATCTTCTACATCTTCACAAAAATGGGACTGATTTGTTTGCTTAATTTCCCAGCATTATAAGGATTAAATTCAATAGCATCTATAAACGCAACTAGGCCCTCAAACTATTTTCCCAACCTTTTTTTCTTTTGCTACCCCAATATTTAATACAGAAAAAACTTCATGGTAGATAGGTCAAAACATATTTAAGAACAAGCTAAGAGTTCAACTAAGAATGACAAGCTGGGCATGGTGGTGCATGCCTATAATCCCAGCACTTTAGGAGGCTGAGGCAGGAGGATTGTTGTGAGTTAAAGAGACCAGCCTGGGCTACGTAGTTAGTTCCAGGTCAGTCTCAACTACATAGTGAGAACCTGTCTCAAAAAAAAAAAAAAAAAAAAAAAAAAAGAGAGAGAGAGAAAGAATGACAGATCCAGGGCTTTAGGAGTTTAAAAGGAGTTTGGTTTTCACCTAGTACACTAGGTGATAAAAAGATGTAGTGGGTAGACAGTATATAGGTTTTGAGGTAGAGAACACAAACGAAAACCAAAATGTTCCTACACAGAGCTATCAGCTTAGAGCTAAGAATGAACTAGAAAAAGAAATTAGCAAATGCAGACATAATGGCTCCTAAAAGAAAAGCAGTAAAATAATTTGAGAAAAAAATCTCTGTAGCCAAATGTCAAAATATGAACTGTTGGGAACCTCCCTGTACAAATAAATATTTCTTAATTAAGCCACGAGATAATCAACTCTTAACAACCTAAATCAAGACAAGGAATAAAAAACATCTTTTTAAGTAATAGCCAAAGTCTATCACAATAAATTCAACACTTCAAATTCTTGTTTGTATGTTTCAAAACTCTACATATGTGAGAGTGAGCAACACAATAGGAAATGGGTTTGAGTAATACAAAAATAATTAGCACTTTCTTACATCTATTCTCAAATTTTAGGATAAGCTTTATGCTGCTAATTTCTCCAAGC